GTCCCTACAGAGGCCGGGAGGAAGAGAGGAGACTTTGTGAGTCAGAGGAAGTGTGACTCGTATCACTGGCCCACGAAGGGATTCTAGTTACAAAGAGCAGCTGGAATGAAATCACCAGCCTCAGGCCCAGGGAAGAACAGTCACTGACCAGGTGCCTGAGCTGTGTTTCCAGCAGCCCAGTGGACGGCAGCGCTCGTCCTGGTGACGTTCTCTTCTGCTGACAGTGTGGTCCCTCTCCAGCTGGCCCAGTCCCAGGTGCTGGAAGCAATGCCACCAGCTCCCTCTGGCTCCTCACAGCCCAAGAGTCACTGTGACAGCTCTGCCAGGCCTCTGCCGTCACACCCTCCTTCCTCTTCTCACAGCCCCAATCTTCGTCAGGGCTTTCCAGAGAAATGGCACCAGCAGGACATCTATCATCTCTCGGTATCCCCTGGGGATTGCTTCCCAGAATGCTCATGGACCTCAAAACCTGCAGAAGCTCCAGTCCCTCATGTCCAATGCCCTGGCTTTGTGTGTCATTTATGCACACCCTCCCGTGTACTTTCAATCATCTCCAGTTATATGGAACACCCAACAAATGGTACGCACAGGGGTGTTATACCGTATTGCTTAGGGAACCATGACAAGAAGGCCTGCACGTCAGTACAGAGAGACATATTGAGTGAGCACTTGGGATCGGAGGTGCCCGGAATCCAAGGGTGTGAAGCCCCGAGCACACAAAGGCAGGCTGTGGGTAGGGTAGGTGACCGAGCAGCCTGCTGGCCTGGCCCCTTGCCTAAGTGATCCCATCGGGATGGTGAGAGGCCGTGGAGATAAGAAGGCTTCAGGAACACTTGATCCATAAATGAACCGTGGAAAGTGTCACGGTCAAGCAGGCCTGATAGGAGCTGCATACTCTCCGCCCTCCTAGAGAGCCACACAGCCCACAGAAATGTTAAACACCTACACGTCCCAGAATGAAGAAACCTATTTAAATGAAAGCCACCGTTCCTCCCTCTTAGGTTGGGAAGAGTCCTTTTCTCCGTTAGTAATTGTGACTATCTCACCGCAGCAGCATTTCCTAAAGCACGCCACGGAAAGCGCTACGTCGGTTTTATTCTCACGTAATTTCCAGTTCAGTGACTGAGGACACCAAGCAGACCCCAGGCTGGTCAGCGGGTTCCTCACCCCTGCGATGGGAGCAGATCCGTACAGACTTGAGCCCAGGCACCGCCTGCCCCACACAGCCACATGGCTCAGCCATCGTCTCTTACTGCTCCCACACGCTCCCGTTTTCACATCTGCCTCTTACTTCTGTTCACAATAAGATTAAAATATGTACATGTTCAGAGTTGAAAGAGGCCCATTCTCGTTTGTTCTAATTATATGTACACTGTTCAAAACTCTCCCTTCTGCTGGGGTCTACTGACAAAAGAACCTATTACATCCCACCTTCAACGCCAGGCTAATAGCTGATCTAAGACGCTTTGTTCCAAATATTACTGGTGCAACCTTTTCTAAAAGCATGACTTTCACCTTTTCCTTCTCCCATTCAGCATCCCACCTCCAGAGCCCTGGCGTTTGAAGTGTGTGTACTTTCCTTTCAGCTTCACACACTGGTTGGTCTTTGGTTTGCTTTGTGGTTTTCCTTTCCTCCTCTGTGTTCTGCGCCACTCCCGAGATGCCAAGTGCAGAGCCCTGGGTGGGAAGCCTTAGGAGCCTTTCTTTTTCTTGCCACAGGGCTCCCTGCAGCTGAGAATGCCAAGGGAGCCCCTGGTGGGTCAACAGGAGGTGAGAAGTACAGAGGCGAACACATGGGACATTCGTCTTTGAAATTCCACTAAGATTAAGTGAGTTTGCAGACCTGAAGGGCTGAGCAAGAGGAGCTGTCACTCTATGGCCACCATGTCATCAAGCGTTTACAATGGGAAAGAGGTGAGTGTGCAAGGGTTCTTAGGGAAAAGCACAAGAAAGAGGAAATCTCTAAGTATCACTGCATGATCGTGAAAGAAAGTGACACACGCAGTGGCTGCCACGTAAAGAGTAACTTGGGAGATTTCTGTCACCTACCTTGATCTAGTTCCCTGACCTCCGAGGAGACTCACCTGCTATCAGATTCACAGCCAAAAGAAGAACACAGATTTCCACAAAAGAAGTTCATATGGAGAGTCCCGTGTGGCTTGAAATCACTACAGCTTAAACACGCCCCACCATTTCCCTTTTATGCGCGCCCGCTGCCTTTCTCCAGCCAGCTGGTCTACCCTCGGCTTAGCTGGTGAGGATGGCTCCCTCCCCTCCCTCCGTTAGCAGGATGCAGGAAGTGCTCAGCACATTTTCATGGCCTTCCTATCTGTGAATCTCTGGTAGGCCATAAAATAAGTTCATCTTTAATCCCTGTATTATATTTACTCCGTACTTAAGAAATATCAGGTTTTTGAAGAATAACTGTATGGCTATATTCAAGCTGAGGGAGAAAAACCTGAAAAATCTACTCTGTTTATTCTCCCTCTCATCACATGGCTTAGAAGCTCAGAATGAATCGACCACACGACCAGGTCAGAGGGACACCTCCTCCGGCAGACCCACAGGCCCAGCTCCATGCAGTAGCATGAGAGAGGCCGCGATTCTCCAGTTCCTACTGAGAATGACAGCAGATGAGTCCAGGAGTTGAAAGGTCCTCAGGAAAGGAGCTCAAGTGGCTGTGAGCAGAGCAACAGGTTACGAAGCTTTCTCACTTTTGCCGACTCCTCGTGGACCACTCTGCTCTTCTCTGTAATGTGGAGGTAAACTAAGTACTACCTGGCAACACGTAAGCCAGGCAAGACTGTAAATGGCTTTGACTCACTTGAAGAACAAGAAATCACTTGCAACTTATCCTTACCCTGAATTTACTATGGTTAAAATGGGGGAATTTTTCACATTTCATGGTGACAAAATGATATTCAAATAATTGTATAGGCAAAGGATGAACGTCTGAAAGATCAATTTATTTTTCTATGACACAAACAATAATAACCAAAACAAAGACAAAGTAGTAGTCTTCAAGCAGAGAAACCATACTTGAATATGTTTGTCTGTTTAAGGAGGTAGTATGGTGAAAATAAAGATACTTCCCCTAAGCCTCCATCATTCAAAACTCATTCAAATGGAATCCACAGAACTTCACACCTTATCCATTAATAACAGCTAATAACAACAAAAAAACCAACTTTGGTGGTGGGTAAGCACATTTGGTGGTGGGAAAAATAAGCAAGCTACACTCAAGTTAAAAACCACTTAGCAGAATTTATGAATAATCAATTGTTATTGAGCCAAGTTTATGCATATCTTATAGGAGATCCAACTGCAAATTCCTGGGCAGATATTTATTGATTCCTATCTTGTAAATACAAAGAAAACAAAAAATAAACAGATATTTCCATAAGTTCGACCAGCTCCTCTTAAATACTCCAATTTTATGCTACTATTGTCTTATTTCTTATTTCTGAAGTCAGTCAATGTTGTTGTAATCTGCATTTTTATATGTGTGCTGACAAGAAGCTTATAAAATCAATATTATACTTTGCATCTCAAAATTACTATTGGAAGAGCAAGCTTAAGATTAAATACTGAACCTCAGTTTAAAGCAATAAAATAGATATAATAATAGTATTATTCATCTCCTAAGAATACTGTGAGGGTTAAAGTAAATATCTATTTGAGTAGCTCCAAGTAATACGTGGCACTGTGTATATGCCACAATGTTTATTATTATTATTTTGTTCAGTATCATTTTTATTCTGTAGATAGCACCTTCTAATTTCTTAAGCAAATATAACATAAACAATGCTTTTTCTATCTTTCATGATGTCTTCATCTCAAAAGAATCACGAAATTTCATAGACCTAACAGTCCCGAAGCCTGGATTCCTTTGGCTATCCTTTAAATTCAAAACTAGAAAAAAGCGCCTTGGGTAAGTTTTCCTTTTGCTCTATGCCATCCGTTAGCGGAGAGGAAAACAATTGGACTGCTGACATTTATTTGGCCCATGGTTTATTTCTTTTACCCCTGGGCATGTTTACCTGTTTCGCCATGCAAGAAGAAAAACAGATGCAGTGAGTCAGTGCAGAAGGCAGCAGTTTAAGGAGGAAAACAGAGCGGTGGGAATCGGGAGGCACAAGGGCGAATGTGCAGAGCTGAGCGAAAGGAACGTGATGTCCCCTCTACTCTGTCCCATGTGATGCTGTCGCAGTCAGGAATTTCCTGCACCTCAATGCTCGCTTTCTCATAAGAGATAAACTGATATACAATGCAACTTCCTTGGAATCAGGGATCTTCATGTCAAAAGAGTGGAGTTAAGATGAGGGGTGTGGACATTCTGGGACACAAGGTTAACTGGCCAGGCCTCTGCCATGGGAGCGGGTAGAGATTTTGTAACCTTTTACAGATTGTCTCTGGCAAGAATAAATATATGAAAACTACATGATTGTCACTGTAGGTATATTCAATACGTTTGAGGTTAATCATTCGCAAAGAGTAAGATAACACTGGCATGTTAAGATTTATTAAAATAATAACTGACATACTGGGTTGGTGTGTTTTTCTCTTTCTCATGGATGTGTGATATATCCTGAAGACTTTGGTTTGGGTAATGTAAATTACATGCCCGCCTACCATAAAGAATCTGCGAGTAGATCGCAGATCTAAAGCAGCAGCAATAATTTTGGTGAAATGATTATTATTTTGGTTATTATTATTGAGGAGGAAAGGTTCATTATTCTATATTAAACAATGGTGAACCACTTCAAACTACAGTTGCAGATAATAAACACTAGGGCTGGGGTGTAATTTAGTGGTAGATGGTGTGCTTCGTGTAAACAACACCTTAGTTCGATCATCAGCACCACAAATCAATAATACAGAAATTTAAAATGCTGTAGGTTTTAGTTCCCTCCACCACTGTAGACGGTGGCTGAGTACTCCATGGAGTAGATGTTCTGATGCCGACAGGCCTTTGAGTTTAGATAACGTGGAGGGATTACCTGTCCCAGGGACTGCCAGTCCAGACCGGCGCTGCCGATATAGACGTGCTGTTTGTCCACAATCCAGAAGGAGGACTGCAGCCGGCCCTTGTTGTAGGCGGTCATGTTCATGTACGTCACCTCGGCCCCTAGGAGTTCAAGGAGATCTCAGTCAGCTTTTGCTTCAAGGCTCTGCGTGGTAAACAGTCATCAACCTGCAGCAAAATGCACGATCTGCCATAGAGCCCAACTGAGATCTGGGGAAGCGAAATAGTCACGTTAGGGAGGTACAGCGGAGACCCCTCAACGTACTATTTTGCTCCCCATGAGGAGACTACACAACATCCAAAGGATTTGTCCTGTGTATAGGCAGGTTAGGCTCTTCTAGTGACAGACCATGGCTTTTCAAGTCACCCAGACCTGTACAGAATTCCTACCCCGCCACTTCCCATCTGGATGGTGAAATAAGTGCGTGACACATTCTTGTTATTTTTCTTTTGTAATACATTTACCACAGCTTTGCAATCAATAGATCAGTATTACAACTCTACCCATAAAGAAATTGGCCTTCTTACACTTTCGGCACCTTCACCCTTTCATCCCTTCACTTCTTATGTTAGCTTTGCATTTCTGTGACCAAATAACTTGAGAAAAATGACTTAAAGGAAGAAGGATTTATTTTGGTTCATGATTGCAGGAGTTTTAGTCCATAGTCAGTTGGTGCCAAGGCACCAGCATCATGGCTTAAGGGCGAGGTGGAAGAAACTGCTCACCTCATGGCAACCAGGAAGCTGAGAGAGGAGGAAGAAAGAGCCAGAGGGGAAGGGGCCACGGAGGACGTCAGAGCCCTCCGGACCCCCTGAAGGCAACCCGGCCTTCCAAACAACGGGCTTTGGAGCGTACATACTGGATTCCAGCCATATACTGGCCTTTGCCTCTTCATTTCCTGCTTTATTATTTAATTTAGATTTGGTCTCTTAATGGTCTTTCTCTATTCCGTAGGTTTTAATTTAAGCAAGGATTAGTCAATACCTACAAATGGTTACCTGAATCAATGAGACCACTGTTAAAACCAAAAATACATTTAAAGAGCTGCAGTTGACCAACTGTTTTAATATGAATGTGGCAGAATCCAGTGTCAAACTTCTAAGCATTACCCCCTTTATATGCATTTAGGACCTCTGAGAAGAAGCATTATTAGTCCAGTCAATGCAGAGTAATTTAAAAACATTTCTGCTGCAAGTCCATTCTTCTAGAGAGAGCATACCTGCCTCGAAAGTGCAAGGTCCTGAGTTCAATCCCCAGGACCCCAAAACAAAAATAAAACAAAACAAAAAAAAAATAAAGAGAGCAAACCCATGCACACACGCTCCCAATGAACTAAGTGATCCTGTCTTCAGATATTCAATATTAATGGAGATAATATCTTCCAGGGCACATCTCATTGTCAGAATCTTCATTACCAGGAATACACAATACTGGATTGTAAGGATGTGTGCTACAATATTAGAAAGGACGGGGAGATATTTATGCCATGAATGTAACCTCTAACTCTTGGGAAAAACGTAAGGAATGTTATATAAAGGACTGGTAGTATAGTGTAGAGCACTTGCCCAGAATGCACAAGGTTCTGGGTTCAAACTAGAGCACTGACTACAGCGGGGAGCAGGGAGACAGAGAGGGACAGAGGGACAGAGACAGAGGGAGAGGGGAGGTTAGAATAGGCTAGAAGGACAATGCTCATGAAGAGAGAAGTGGACAATGAGATGGCAGGAAGAGTCTGTGATTGTCCTGATCCCTTAGACCAGTTCTATGTTTTGCTCTGAATTCTTCTAAATCATTAGAATAAATGTTTAAGCTGGTTTTAGAAGGGTTCTTCTTGTTCACTAAGTTTTTCTTATGAATAACCATGTAATATTGCCGTTGTTGTGTGCATACATAGTTTTAGAGCGTCTACAATCTTTATATGAATATTTTTGTACTTGACCAAAATATTCTCTTAGCCAAAATATTTACACAATATTTTTAAAGCAAAGTTCTAGTTACATGACTAAATGGTTACAAAATGTGAAGATTAAAAAAAAACCAGTTTCAAATACTCATCAGAATGACATAAAAAGGAGTAAGTTAGTACACTGGTAAAATAAAGATTCATACTCCTCCTGGATCTCCATGACAGAAAGAAGACTCTATCTCCATGTTTACGTCCAGAGTCCCTGAAAGCATGATGCCAGCAACTTTTCTGCCTTATAATATGAGCTACGTTAAAAATATATGCAACTTATAAAAAGCTATAAAGTGCGGTAACACAGTGGACACTGGTGAAACTTCAACTTTACTGAAAACTAGGATTACTTTAAAAATAAAATAAGACTAATTGGGACTGGGAAGGAGGCTCAACGGTAGAGAGCAAGGCTGAGACCATGGGGACATGAACCAGCATCATAAAATAACAAGCAAACTGCACTCAAAGCAGCTCAACAAAAACCCTACAGCGGCTCACTGGTTATAAGAGAAAACGACAGGTCTGGGAGCTTGGAGGATGGAGCACAAGCATATGACTTCTCTTTCCCTTCCCACTGAGGTCACTCAGCTGTTGACATAGCCACTGAGTTGGGGAGTGGGGGATGAGGGACACTTCTCAGGCTTCTGTGCCAGTTCTATTGTTCTCTACAAGCGAGCAGACTCTCAGGGTTACCACTGTTGCTGGGAAACCCAGGAGAGCTGGGGAAGGTTTGTGGGTTCCAGCCCACATTGCTCTATTTCCTTTCCCGTTTGCTGTTCAACAGAGCCAGAAGACTCATCTTCCAGGATTCGGAGGCGTCACACCCGATTACATTGTGTGCGATGTCTCAGCTACTACATCGGCAAGCTAAGGAAGCTCACGAAGTAGAAAAGCATATGGGAGCCACTCATCAGATTAAATGGAAGACACTGGAATTCTCTGGGACATTCACAAAGATGTTTCAAAGGAATGATCCAAGGCAAGTGTTACAGTCTGACCTCGAATGTCCCTGGAAGGTGCCTGTGTTAAAGGCTTGGTCCCCAGCTTGTGGCACTAGTGGGAGCTGGTGGAAACTTTAGGAAGTGGGAGAAAATTAGGCCACCGGGGGCATCCCGGAAGAGGATACTGCGACCTTAGACCACTCCTCTCTCTCTTTGCTCCCTGGCCACAGAAGATGAGCAGCTTTGCTCTACCAAAGGTGCTGCCTCATCACAGGCCCAAAAGAAATGAGACCAAGAAACCATGGACTGAACCCTCTGAAACTGTGAGACAAAATAAATACCAGTTCCTCCTTACAAATTGTTCCTAGCAGGTATTTTACCACCGTGGTGAAAGATGATTAACATAGCAGTGTCCTTACAAGTTTTAAATCCCAAACAAAAATAAATCAAGGCGATCTACTTCATGATTGGCAGCAATGAAAACTGAAATGATGATCCAGAAATTCAAATAAGGTAATGTGCTTACCACACAGATTAACACAGTGATTGAAAAGTTGATGCATGGAGGAGAAATCTAGGTGGGCTCATGTTTCAATCAAAGTCTTAAAGGAAAAAAAGACCTTGCTAAATGTAGGAGGAAAAGAAAAACATGATAAATGTAAGCACAAAAGAAGGTAAGAAATACCAGAGTTTCACTAAGATATTAAAAATCCTATTATAGCAATTCTACAGAGAAAATCAGAGGAGAAGAAATCACAAAGTGAATAATAAAAGAAAATTTCTAAGAACTGAAGGGCATATGTTTTAAATTTAAAAGCCTATCAATTCCTAGAAAGAAATAGAAAAGACTCACATATGTACCACAGTAAGTTTTTAGAATACTAAAAATAAACAGCAATTCTAAAAACTGTCAAAGTGAAATGATCAAATAAAAATGATAACAAATGATCAAAAAGATAAATTAATCTGAGTTATACTAGGTATTTTAATAGTAACAATAAAAACTGAAAAACAGTGGAAGGGAAACTTGTATATCTAGCAAATATGTAGGTAAAAATAAAATCATTTTTGTGTTTTCTAACAAAGTATAAATTCCTCCAAGAAATGGTCAAATTTTAAAAAGCCACTTACAAATGTGGTGACGGTGGTGTCTAAATACCTAGGTAATTTTGAGGGTACTTATTTTTTTAATTCCTTAATTTTACTGGTACATTTTAGGTATACAATATGTTGACATTCATTATTGGGAATTCTTGCCTTTACATAATCCATCTTGGTTATTTTTTTCCCATTTCCCTGCCCTCCCTTCAACCTCTCCACCCCTCCCTATTTACAAAGACTTTGTTTCCATTTTTTTCTGTTCTTGTGTTTATACCTTTCCCTTTTTCTTTTCCCCTACGCCTTCCACCTCCCCTTTGGACATTTTTGACCTATTTCACATTATTTGTTATGCATTTTGATCCGTATTTACACTTTCAGTTTCTTACACCAGAGAAACTATTCGGTATTCACACATGTCTTAGTTATTTCACTGAAGAGTATGGCCTCAATGTGCATCCACTTAGCTATAAATGTCTCTAGTTTCTCATTCTTTATGGCTGAGTAGTACTCATATATAAAAACATCTTTATCCAGTCTCCAGTTGATGGGCAATCACGCTGTTTCCAAGTTTTAGCTATTACAAACTGCCGCTATTACATGGGGCACATATATGGCAGTGGTATGATGCTTTTATTCTTTTATGGCCTCAATGCATCCACTTAGCTATAAATGTCTCTAGTTTCTCATTCTTTATGGCTGAGTAGTACTCATATATAAAAACATCTTTATCCAGTCTCCAGTTGATGGGCAATCACGCTGTTTCCAAGTTTTAGCTATTACAAACTGCCGCTATTACATGGGGCACATATATGGCAGTGGTATGATGCTTTTATTCTTTTGAGAAGATACCCAGCAGGGGAATAGCTGGGTCAAATGTATGTACTTTATTGAAGGAAATATTAATTAAGAACATAAGGCATGCATAGCCATTACGTTCTTGTAGAATATGTGTATTTGAAGGAGAAAAAAACCAGGTCAAGTTTTTTATGGCCTTGTTCAACCTCATTCATCAAAAGAAAAAAGAATCAACAAATGATTAAAGGCAATACATCTCTATGTTTGTGCAGTTTTTTAAACATAACAAAGATGTTAAAGAATTATA